AGATTTCTTATTACTCTACTAAATGATGTAGATTCACGCGATTATCATTCATGTGATAAAAGAGAGTGACAAGTAAAATTCAATAAACTTCAGATAACGATTTCGTTAAATAGACAACACGCTTTATTGAATTTTATTCATATTTTAGTGAACACTGGAAAGCAGCATACTAACGGATTGAATTGTAAAAGTAAAAAAGATGACACAATTCGTTGCACAAATATTATTTGTCGCCGTGGATCCAGTGTTGGTTGTACCAAAATTTGCTGTCGTACTTGATCTGGTGTTGGTTGAACCAACATCTGCTGTCATAGTTGGTTTAGTGTTGGTTAAAGCAACATTTGCTGTCGTAGTCGTCCAACTGTTCGTCGTTTCTAATTGCAAATAAATAGATCGACTATGCTGATTTTCTGAGTGTCAACTGATACAGATAGAAATCAAATGAACTAAGAGTTTCTGAAGTAATCTTTTAAGTAATAAAGAGGTATTAAGTAACTTGAAGTGGACACCAGCTGATGAATGTCTGTTTAAAAAGTCTGACTGCGCTACCAAGTTTTAGGTTCATGGCAACAAGGTTTAGAAAGGAATCGAATAAAGTAATTCACAGTTGAACTTTTGATGTGTAAATATACATGAATATCCTTAGAATAACTTCGATGTGACAGATGAAAATCGCTGCAAATTTCTTGAGATATTTAACTTTCAAGAAGTTCAAAGTTACTAAGTCTTGGGGGAAAGTTAAAGACTTTTACCATGTTGTAGGTTTAAAAAGGTTCATTGATTTTTTTCCAACTCTGTCAAATTATTTAAAGGACTTTCACTAAGTCTGCCTTGAAGTATTTAGCGACTTGTCATTTTGACGATGCAGCTCTAGGGTAGTTTGATATGAAACTGTGCAAAAAAAGATCGGATGGAAAGATAATTAAAATATCTGAAAAATCAATCTTGATTGTTCGTGATCAAGTTTCAATCATAGAGCAGACTCTGTAAAATAAGATTGCTATAAAAATATCATTGTTCCTATGCTTTATCTCTTCTAAGATATTAATGTCACAATTTTCGATTAATATAATTCGTTCTTAATTGTAGCCTTTGTAAGCATCAAAATCTTTACCTCAAGTCTTTTTATCTGACATTGTAGGTCATGCTTATGATTCACTCTTGAGATATTCTCATTTGAGAAGTAAAACAAAAATTTCATGAAGAAATATGAATAAATGATCATGATCAGTTGTTACAAATTTAGATAAAAAGACTTGAGTTCGATCTCTAAAAGCTTCCATCACCTGCAGATAGCAACGATATCAATCGAAAATTATGACATTAATATATTAAACGAGACAAACTACAATACTATCGACATTATTATCATGGCCCATGCCACTTGTAGTTTTCTATGAGATGAAGATCTTCGATACAGAAAGACTGAACAGATTTTTTTATACAACTCAGTATCAAATCATTGTAGAAGGCTATTCTCCAAATGTCAGGTCACTAAACGACGCGATGCAAGACAAGTGCTGATATTTCTCTATTATAACTGCTGAACATTTCACTTCAGAAGCTCTCAATCATTTGGACTACTTCTTTGTTAAATCCTATATCAGCACTAAACCCTATAATAATTAGTTTCAGTTTTCTAAGTAGTCAGCGCATATTCTTACTTTCACCTTTGATACACTTTGAAATTCCGACGGCCATATATCCAGGTTTACACATACATGTGCCGTTAAGACACATTGCGTTACCGATAAGTGCACCACAAGTGCTATTCGAGTTGCAAGAATCACCGATTGCGTTGTCGTAGGAAACATCCAAGTTCGTGGTTTTAGCAGGAGTAGTCGGAACATTCGGAATAGCAGCAATAGTCACAAATGAGAATAACAGAAGAAACAACATTTTGAATCTGAAATAGCAGAAAAATGTGATATTAATCGGAAGAAGTTTCAAAGTTTTAAAAGATATCAGATAGCGGCGCAATCATGAGTGATTAGTATTCTTTTCTGACATTTTGTATGTTCGATATGGGATGTGAGTCTTCTCTTCACACTTTCCCACCCATATCCCACACATCAAACTTTACGATCACGATCGTACAGTCACGGTTGATATCATTGTGGCACCTGCTGAAACGAGAAGCTCGTTGAAAAGTAAAGTAGTTGTCTCACAGAAGCAACATTGAACGCCAAAAAAAGTCATAGTGAACCAGAATGGCTCGTATGCATACAAAACACCGCTCAGTAAGTGAATTCACTTTTGACTTTATCTCACAAGTATATTATGCAATCTGTTATGACGACATGGAGAGTAAGGATAAACGTGAATCCAAACGGCATAACATTCGAGATAATTCATTAAACTTTGATTACATAACATCATTCGACAAACATATGATACTGAGATACTCACTTTGGACAGCGAAATCAGTTGAATATGATGTTGATTCTTGTTAACGTTATCTAGAAAAACAGCAATGTACATCATGCATTTCTTTCATCATACGCTTCTCATTGTCAACAAACTAGCTGATAACCAAATCAAAATAGAGAAAGGTGTTAGGCTACGGCATGTGCAAGAATAAAAAAAGATTGCAAGCTATTATGTGTTAGTTATTCATCGCTGTTGATGAATATAATATGTAGAATGCTTTGACCAATCAGTAAAAACTCATATTCATCGAGATCAATTGCTCATAATCTTCGATTTCTTGAACAGAACACTACATGGTAATCTTTTTTGGAGAAAAGCCAACAAATCGACATTTTTATTTGAAAAAATGTGAAACTTTGAACATAGTGATCAGAGGTGCTTTTGGATTGCCAACAAATTACATACTTGCGTAGCTCATTTTGATTTATTTTACATGACTACAATAATGAAAATAATATTGAAAAACCAGTAAATGAAGAAAATCACATCTGATCGAAACGTTCCAATATGTTTTCTACCAACCCCAGCAGAGAATAGTGAGGTTATAAGACTCGAGACATAAAGCTACCGCACCCACATACATCCATACTCCAATTAAGAGAATGCTAATGAGAAGAAAAAACACTCGATCATAACACAGTAAAATATCTTATTAATATCTAAATGAGATCAAACAGGCTCTATGAAACATATTGTATAATTGTTAAAAATATAAAAGATTCTGTTTACTGAGTGTATGAAATCTCTATTTGTGTGATTAGCTTTATTTCACTATTAAAATAATTCTCTTCAGCCATTAAGGAATATATCTAATGTGTTGAGGAAGTCACATCGATTACCAAAGTGATTTTAAGTAGTATAGTCTCGTACATATCGAGAAAAAAAGGGTTCTCATATTTGGAAAAGTATCCTATTTTTGGATGATTGTTAAACAATGGTGTGTCGTGCTAGTAGAAATCAAAACTATGTATAATTAGGAATTCTCACATAAGATGTGTTCATATAATCAGCATAACTGATTGAATTAAAGCCCCTGCATTTTAATGAATCTTTTTAAAGAAAAATCTGTTTAAACGCATTGATTTGCTTTAACTACAACGGGGAATAACAATTTATAGTCGAATGTAATGAAGTACGTTCAAGGAAATATTCACAAAAGTATGTTTTCTTAGATGATTTTTCCACATTAAGAATCTTTTCTGTCGTTGAACACGATAAAACTTATTAAATTTGCTGTGAAAACGGATCAGATGTGTTATTCTGGAAAAATTTTACTCATTTTAACCAATTTAAGTATTCTTGATGCATCCTTAGAGGTCTTGCCCGATTGAGTAAACAAAATGGCATACATAACTATATTGCAAGTATAGTAATACTTCAGTCGATTTGAATGAATATTTCAAAATGACCTCGAATTGAAATGGAAAGAAAGTCTTTTTTGTTTTCATGCATCCAAAATGTGATAGGTCTATATAGATTGATTTGACAGCATTTAGCGAAACTAGACGTGATCAACGGATGATAAGCAAACGTTGTCTCGATAGTACACGATATGAGATTGCTTGAATGCAACATGTGTCTTATTTCCTCGTACAAAGGATGTGCCTCTTGAAAAAGACATAGGAGAGCAGCATGATAGAGGTTAATTATCAGCAATCTTGTTATTGATGTGTTTTAATCTAAATGAGTGCGGCTATGGGTATTTGTGAAGTAGGAACGAATAGTATCACTGTATGACTCGCAATTCGAATTTATTTGGTATCGAGCTCTTACGCGCAATCGCCAAGTACTTCAGTATTGGGTTTCGATGTGTCAATGATGTTGTTCGTTCTATTCTCACTGGGTCTGTGATAGGTCAAAGTTCTGTGAACTGGTTCTTTTATAAGAGCTGAGTCTAATGGCTAGCTTTTTTTTCAAATAGACTTGTTCTATTGATTATCGTAATCGAAGAATTGTATTTAGCACTTGATCCAGTTGTCAAAAAAGAACTGGTTACCATACCCAGTTCTCTAAAAAAAACAAAACTAAGTGACTGATACCAATTCAGTTCATTGATCAAGAACTGTTATAGGTCAACTCTTCACAAGCACCTACTCACGTCCTGCGTGGAAACAAACCAGTTCCTATCGAACTAAAATGACATACATCGTTAGTAAGTTTTTAAAACTTATGGATTTCACAGAATATATGTGTGTTTTAATATCGATAATTTGTCAATGTTGAGCAAAAGATTACTCCTGCAGTTCTCTGAAGGTTTGCACATTAAGAAATAGAATCATTTGTGTTGATTCAAATATAGTGTTTTTAGGTACTTTCAATGTGAAAAATTGACTCTTTTCATAATTATGTCACAGTGCATAACAACTGATACTTTTGATCAATAGTTCCCGATCACAACAAGTGAAACTTCAAAAATTTGCATCTAGTTACTATCAGCAGAATTGTAAAATTATTCATTTATGCATTTTTCGTCAGCTTCAACTAGTTTTTTTATTCACTTCTTTCACTTAAAAGAGATGAGAAACATTTTATCTTAGTAGAATAAATGAGTCACTTAAGGTCATCAGATTTTATATTCGTTTTTTTCTTGATGATGCCCATAATGTGCTGGATGGTACGGGTAGATTTTTCATTGTTATTTTTTGATAAGTGTGGTGGAAAAAATTAATCTCGCTGATTGAAATAACTCGAAAAAGGGTAAATGGTAGTAAAAGAACTTCGTCTTCATCTTTAAAATAAGAAATGCCACAAAGATCAATTGCTGATGGACATGGTTCGGCAAAGTCGAAACACATAATAATCGATATTCGATCGTTTACTACGGGATGGTCACCCAAAGCATAGGCCACCTCTGGACTTTTTGATGTTGATTGAAAAATACGTGTTTGAAGAACGGCGGCTCGTGCATAAGCCCATTTGTAAGCTTCGAAATCAGCATGTGATATATTCATGCCTCGATAAGTGATTCCATGAAACGCCCGTGTACGAATTTCCTGAAGATGTAAATATACAAGAACTGCATAAGCATCAGCATTCATTTGTAAAGCATTGTAAAATGGTGTTTGAAGTGTGTAAATTGTAAGAAGAGATTCAATTGAATTTTTATCAATAAATTGTTTATAAAGATTTTAAGCATTTTGATAATCACGATGATTGATTGGAATATTGACTTCGATCAATCCTCGAACTATTTGTCGACTTTCGCGTTCTGTACGAGCATTTAAAAAGAATTTCATAATTGGACTTGACGTTTGAGATAATGTCAACATCAATTGAGAATCAACTGCTTCGGCAGACGAAAAATAGCCCGTAACCCAATGATCTGGACGATCAGACGATGACTCACTAGCAGTAATCAACTGAAATGGTGACGTTCTGGTAGAATCATCCATAAAACGATTTTGTCTGTGTAGAGATAGTGGACGAGCAAATAAGGATCGAATATTTGTTAAAGTTGCTTCATCATACGGTGTGTTACCGTTTCGATTTCGAATGTTACGATCACAATAAATATTTGCAAGTAAGATTCGAACTATTTCATCATGACCATACGAACAAGCAACATGTAATGGACTAAATCCAGTGATAGGATGGAGATAATTGACTTCAGTATAACTGGAATGTGGTAAGAGTTCTCGAACTCGATTAATATCACCATTACAACAAGCGAGATAAAGTTCATTTGCTAAATTATTTTGATGCACTGTAGAAGGCTTTTGGCCCATTCTAATTTGTTTATTTAAAGGAATACTACAGCGAAAGGTAACACTTTCATTTTCGATTTTTTTCTTTATTCTCTGATGATCATTTTTCTCATTGGATGAGTAGCATGATTGCAATATTCCGAAAGAAGAAAAAAATATTTTTGTTGATAATGTTTTAAAAAGCAATAGGCAACTTTTTTGTTTCGCTGCATCATACTCTTTTCGATTATGATTTCATTCAATTTTTCTTTCACCATTCTGTATTACCAAAAAGAAAGCTTCGATTGCAGCCATAGTTTTTTTTTCTTGCCTAAACTGATTGTATTTCTTCTCATCGATGTCAAATATGTAAACAGGTGAAATGTCAATACCATATTCTTTAATCTCAGAACTACAAGAAAATGATGCTCGAAATTCAATTATACAAGATCCACAGCATGAAAATTCCTATACAACAACAGCTCCAAATGCTGTTGCAGCACATATCAGATTATTCTATCGAGTTTTTGCTGAAATCATAGTCCTTTTTATATTGTTTATAATTGGTACAGTCGCAATCATTGTGGCAAATATGTATAGCGATTCATGTCCTGCTGCAAACAGTTTGCCTAGATGGTTAAATGCCTTTGGAATCATCGATGCTATAATGTGTGTTATGGTGGCAATAGTTGTATGTATATTTGTCTGACACGACTATTAAGTTAAGAGAGAACCTCCACAACTGGGAGGTATCAATCGAGTTAGTTGTTTGTTCATATGTTGGGATACATGAGACTAGTTGCAAAACCAGAAGGATTCACGTTCATGTTCTATCCTTTCGGAGTTTTGATTGTTTTACTGAATTTTCGAATGTATATGTCAGTCAGCAATTTACACAAAGATTGAATGGTACATATGTTATCTGAAACTTTGTCTAGGAGTTGGTCACATCGTCATTAGATTATTATAGAAAATTCTCTTGAAAAACAAATTCCTTTTCGAGATATTTAATCATCAAAAAATTTGATGTTCTGAACTTTATATATGAGATATGGAAACTTCTTGATCATTAAATATGTCGAGACGAAATTGAATTTTTTCTTTGAAACTTTCAGAGCAATCTATCAAATGGTGAGACTTATCTATGTAGAAAATGCCTGCTTGAGAATTTAAAAATGGGGTTTTGAGAAGATAATAACAGATGGCTTCTTAATACTCACATTCTCACATTCACCTTTGTCAATTCATATGACTTTTGTCTTCTTGATTTATAGAACTCAGAATGTGATAAAGATGGCAATTCTGATCACCTCGTTTGAATTTAAATTCCAAAGATCGCAATTGTGTTGTTGACATGTATTTTTTATATAGTAGTAGGCCTACGAAAAAATCTTCCAGTTCTAATCTGTGTATAAGCTGAGTTTCTAGATAAATTCTTTTTTTGTTAAATTATGATATTTTTGATTTCGGATCTGTTACATTCATCAAATCATCTCCACCAATATTTTCAACAAACATAACGAATATATCCACAAATTAGAATTTTTATGCTGAGAATTGAAAGTGTACAGTAAAAGTCTGTCAACATAAATAACGTTCTTCCTTGCTTTTATCTAAATAAACACTCTAGAGAGAATGAAATATCAATAAGAGAATAAATTATTCATTTTTTAGGATATGGCTAACGTAGGTAAATGAATTAATTATGATCAAATCATAAGCATAAGTTACTAGCATACACAAAGTTTTTAAAACTATAAACGAAGATGAGTAGTTACATTGAATCAATGACATTAGTAATAGCTAGAGAACAAGTGAACAAATTATTAAATCATAAGTATAGCAACAGAATTGAAATTAAATACAATTGATTTTTTATATAGTATAAATATTTAAAAGACAAAACAATAGACATTTATTGTTTTGTATAAAAACCCATTGAAGAAAAGTTCTCTTGTGTGATTCCCTCACTCTCTGCTTAATTTTTTTCCGAGGTGCAATGATGAGTACAAAGCCAAAAAGGAGAGACAAAAACCTTTTTCGTATGTGAGTCTCAATCCCAGTCTCAATAATGAAGTCAAAATTGAGATTGCAAATGCAAAGTTTTCTGGTGACTATTAGCTGAATATAAAACAATTTTTATGTGATTTTAATATAGGCGATCGGACGTGCTACATATTGCTTTCGTCAAAGTGGTATTCTGTGTGGGCTTACTTATTTGGCCGTATTTGCAGCCTGTGGAATATTGTTCATAACAGAAATGTCCATCGAGGTTAGCTTTAATGATGATTTTCGTATAATTGAGCTACTTTGTGTGTCTAATTTATTCTGTAGACAAATGCTACGCCCGAAGTTAGCTTCTTAACTATTAAAGGACTTCAATCCAAGGATTCAAAAAAACCATACTTTTGTGAAAATGTTATACGACGCTTTGCTAGTGTGATTAAAACTAGTCTAGTGATAATAATCGCTTTGCTGTTTATTGGCATACCATTTGCTAATTGTAAATCACAATTTCAATGTCGTACTGGTTCCACAAATAACTCGAATAGAAATGTGTGAAAGAAAAAAAAAAAACATTTGAATTCTGCTGATTTTTTTAAAAATAAATCGTTCAATTTTTTTTCTTATGTTTTAATATCATATAGGAACTAAAAACTAACATGCATTCATCGATCGTATGATTCATAAGAGAATATTTGGATAGATCGAAACAGTAGCAGATTTAAGGCTTCGGGCAAGAGGTGAACGACAATTATGATCACGAAACGTGTTTTGAAGTTCATTAGAGATTGTATAAACTTATTTTTGGACATTTTTTATTGACAAAAAAAAAGAAAAATTTTTCAACAAGTAGCGGCAACCGTCCCTCAATGTTTGCCTCTAAATTTGCCACTCAATCGAAATCGACATTAAGGCGTAATAAATTTATCATCAACAAGAAATCTAAAACCAAAAAAATTAAATTTCTTTCTCAATCATATATCGATTTTTAGCACTTATCAATAAAATAACACGATGCATCATGATTGAATTCATCGATTTCTTAAATGATTTTAAGTTCAATTTATGAGTTTAATTTTAAACCAACAAAAATTATCTTGCCAAAGATTAAATCACTTAAGCGGACAATCGAATTATGCATCAACAGTGATAAGTCCATATTTGCTACTGTCTCTCAAATTTGGTGCATTTGTATCTGTACAGAAATGAATATTTTTCGAAAGAAAACAAGTCTGACTCCTACATCGTTCTTCTCTTCCCTCAATGACATCATGTTCGATGGATTTTTCTTTTTCTCTTCTCTCATTGCTTTTGTAAACATTCATTGAGATATTACCTAGCTGTAATCAATTGTTGCAGAAACGAAAAAAAATCTTTTTCTTATTCCGTACTGTTGTTTTTTACTTTCAAGCAGTACTGTTGCTATGCATGATTTTAATACTTTGATCTGTCTGAAGAAGGAAGAAACAATTTTACATTGTCACTGTTCTTTTCTGTTTTTGAATTGCATAATGAAAAATCATGTTCGTTAAAACGAGATTTAAATAATGAGTGAATAAGCATGATACTCAGGAATTCGATGTTTCTTGGTCTGCTTCTTTGAAACAGTTCTTCCTTGCCGAACATACTCCTTTTAAAATACAGAGTTTACTAGTGTCATTTACTACAAGGTATTGAATGTTATATGTACAAAATATTGTTTTTGGCATGAACTTCTTTTATAGATGAGTGAAGTACAAACACCTTTTTCAATGATATTGGGGCCGGAACAAGCTCCAAGTATAGCCACATTACCTAATCAACAAAATTATGAAGGTCGACTCACTACTTCGGGAACTGCGGCTGTTGCGGCGCATATTAGATCATTCTATCGCGCATTAGCTATAATAATGATTCTTTTGTTAATGATGGCTATAGGTGCTCTGACAATTATATTTGGTCATTTCAAAAAGGATTCATGTCCTGCTACTCCAGGTTTACCAAAAGTAATCACCACTTTTGGCGTTTTGGATATTATCATATGTGGAATCATGATTCCAATTGTACGTATTCTTATCTTTAGTTTTAGTTGCTCTGATCATCAAAACTTGATACTACGTAGTTTCTATCGATTAGTTAATCTTCCCAGTTATCTAGCTAGATAATCATGTTGATTGTTTTCTCCTAAATCTAAATTAATTGACACAAAACACAGTAAGTGATCTATATCTATCTGAACTATAGTATAAAACCTATTCATTGCCTAACAGTGCATTATATTCCCTTGACATGACAAAAATATTTTCAAGAAAGAAAAAACATTTTCGGTCTCAATAATAATTTTCATTTCTTTCCTTCGATTGAAAGTATTAGTTACAAAAACTTCTTTTGATCTAAAATCTATGTCAAACAGAAAACATATAGGCCTCTGTTTTCGTTTGATAACTTTGAATAGGAACGAGATAGATACCTACGATTTTGACTATTTCAAGGAGATGAAGATAGATCGAATCGTATATTTTCCATCGAGACTTAGAAAGCAAAAATTTCGGTTTTTTTTTTTCATAAAATTTGTCAAAACATACGCTTAGAGTTCCACGTATATTAAAAATAAAAATCTGGATCTTACAGAGTTTTTCAGATCTTCCATTGTCAATTTTAATCAACGTATGATTATTAAAAATTCATCGTAGTGACCCATTAAAGTAAATTGCATTGACTTTCAACAAAGTTCAATTAGAGATTCTTAAAAAAATCTTCTCGTCGAAATCACTAATATACAAATCGATGTCTTCATCTCCACTGCATCTCTCTATCTTGTTCCTATCAAAAGTTATTTAATCGTTATCTAGATGTCTTTTTTTTTTAAATAGATATTAATTAATGAAATTGTTCGCTTTGATTGACTCAATAATCAGCATATTCAATCCTCTCAGGCAATTATTGCTTTAGATTAATTATGGAGATGATCTATTCGATTTGTTGAAAAACTGTTCGAATTATTGGTTTTTGTTTGTTACTTAAAAAGCAGTATTTCCTTTTTTTGGTATTTATTGAAC